TTGGAGGCGGTCGCATCGTCCTCCTCGGCCCCGCGCTCATGCGGCCTGAAGCCGGTCGTCGAGGAGGAGGCCAGAGCATATCTGTTCCTGTAGTGCAAATGGCTAGCGCCGAGGGCATAATCCTGTTCACAGTGTTGTAGCACGAACACGGTATTCCGCTTTCTGCAGAAGACAATGGCAGACACGGTGACCACCAGAGTGGCCGAAAGGAAGAGTCCACCGATCACAAAGGCCCCCGTCAACGGGGGCTCCGTCTGTTGGGCTCGTGTGATCAAAGGCGCCTGCTGTGCGTTGTGGGAGGATCGACCATCGCCGGTGTCGGAACCAAGCAAAGGGGTCGAGTTTCCAACAGCCAGGCCTCTTGTCCAGTTGACAGGGGCGATCACTTCTTCCGGCTCGGACAAGCCCAACTCTTCGCCTGCTCGAGGCCTACGGCTTTCTGCTTCAAATTTCACCCTAGCGAGTTCACTTAATTTGGTTGCTTCCATTTTTGTCAATGCTCTCGAGAGAACCATCTTTTATTGCTAAGGGGCAACGATCCTAAAAGTTTAAACAAATATTCGAGACAGAATAAGAGGAAATTGTGCAAAAGGTTTAATGGACCGTACATGTAGTCTGAAAGACAATTCAGTAAGTCGAATCTTACAGAAAGTAAAACGAAAATTTATTCACGATCCCTTTTTTTATACACATTTCCCTGCTTATAGTAGGGACTAAGAAACATGTTCACCACAAGAAATACAATCTTGAAACTATCTGGAAAAGAGTCACAGTCACCCTAGCCCTCACTAGGCGACGAAGGATTGATAGTTTAATTTCCCCACATTCATATGGGTAGGCTTGACATTTTCAGTCTACTCCTAGTATTGAGGAAGAATTCAGCTACCAGTCCTTCCTCGTCTTGCACTATCTTGGAAGACTAAAACTCGTATTCAATATTTATTAGTATTTAAAAAACCTACTCTAAGCAAATATAAGTAGCATAGTATTATAATAGCAAAAGATGTTTGACTCTTCGAAAATGCTACAATAAAAAATTAGATGAGAGGCCTGACTAGTCTTGAAATTCACGTCTGCACTGTGACTCATAGCACTCGTGACAATTTCACATGGTGGCATCATGTTGAAATTATATGCTGCATTGCATGGGTCCGCTTCCCATTATGGCAATGGATTAGCTCCAGGCAAGGTGTAAATTGAAGATCCTCCTGAATGAAAGTACCTTTTAAGAGGAAAAGTTAAGAGAAATTTAATGGAAAAATGAAGAGGATTGGAACTCAGAATCTGATGCGGTCTCACCGAAAACTGAAGGAGGATTGCCGCGTAGGGAAGACTGTTGAATTGTGCGAAAAAGTCCTTTGCTCACCGTCCTGGGACCCCACAGTTTAATCGAGGTCGCAGGACAGGGAGCCAAGACCTTTTTCTCACAATTCAACAGTCTTTCCTACGTGGCAATCCTCCTTTGGTTTCCGGAGACACCAAATCATAAATTTCTTCCAACCAACTTTCCTTTCGAACTCAACTGTGTAATGCCACAATATTTCATCAAGGGATTTTTAAAAACCCAGTTTTCCCTCATATGTTTGTTCCTCTAGTCTGACTAAGTGCTTAGCAAAGTATTCCAACGACCGTTTACTTGAGCTCATGTCTTCATGACCATACCTGCACTGCGGAAGCAGTAATTTTGCCGCTGAATTGACTTCAGCTGAATAACACTCATCTGCATTTGGCCTTTTCAGTCTTCCATTTATTGGTGTCTATTACTTTGCTCCAGTACACTGCTCCAGTAAGTTGTCTCGGCCCTCCTTTGTCGGCTCCTCTTTTCCGGCTATCCTCATGATCATCTATTATTATCACGAACACACATACAGATGCCATCTATATTACTACTATCTAGCTTTGTACACCTTATCTCTATACAAATTCGACACCACATTCTCCAGGCCTTTAGCTTTTCTATCGGTCTTAGAATATGCCCCAGACTCGTCAAAAGAGAGTTGGAGCATTTAACATTTTTTAACTGTTAGATTTTAGGCGTGCTTGAATGGCGAACAGACGTGTTGCTTGTATTAGCCCAGTTATCGAGTACCTTTTGGCTGGGCTTTGGAAAGCTTCAAAGAAGGCATCGAGCAAAGTCTTTGCATGTACCAGATAGTATGGAAAACTATCATCATAAAGAGTACATGATGGTACCGACTAGTTCATGAAATTGAAGGATTCTCTTTATCAGTAGGCTTTAATAGTCATAAAAGGCTTAAGTTCTTATATTTTAGTCAGTTTTACTTTTATAAACCTCTCAAGTAATCGCGAGGAGTAAATGCTTGGGTGCTATTTGCCATTTATGGAAAAGCCTTTGCACCCAGATCACAGGGTTCTTTAGCGTTGGGGGAAGATGAAACAGCATAGGCGCCAGAAAATAATTGTAGATACTGCCCCCCGAATCCAGACTAGTGAAATTGTGTTGGATATCCCGTTCGTTGGCATCTGGACAAGCAAGACATGCTGTCAGTAAGTGTGCTCGTGTAGTAAGGAGTATAATTTGAAAAGGTCCTATCTTAGTCTCTGTTTGAAGAATATACTTGATGTGTGTCCTTTTATTCTTCGCACACATTCAGCTTAATTGTGTCTAGTTTAATAGCAAATACTGAATATGTTCTGCAATGTACCACTTTTTAAGGTGAAACCATAAATCACTGATTCTTTACTGCATCGTTAGCATAGCTTAAGCTTATGTTGCGGTGTGCCTATAATAATTCAAGCTTAAGGCTGGCAGCTAATACCGAGACTGAAAATATATAAATTTAAGTGAGAAGGGTATATGATGAGTTAAATATTCGAGTCATATTATGATTTCCAGGCAGTAGCCAACTGAAAGTCAATCGTGTAC